GGATAAACGCGGACGCTGACGAGGCAAGCGAACCCGGACCGGACAGGGAGGGGGGGGTAAGGAGGAGGGAGCAGCGCGCCACAAGCTAGGCCTAGGCTCCGCCCCTTCGCTGCTGCCCCGCCCAATGAAGGAGGGGGAAAGGAGGGACTTGTGGAAGAAAAGCGGACAGGTTACCCAATGGCGCGACTCAATTGCTTGGTAGGGCGTGTAAGGCAGAGTTGCGTGCCTGATATCCGCCTAAAAATGCCGCCCTCTCAATTTTAAAAGCCAATGAAAGATGCAGGAAGTAAAAATGGGCGGGATCTAGAAATGATAGGCTTGGAATTAAACCAGTCAACCGCCAGGCGGGCTCCCTGAGCGGTAGAGATAGGGAGCGTTTTGATAGGAATGACAGAACAACGACCAACCAGAATCTTGGACATGCCTGGGCAAAGTCCTGGTGGGAGGAGAGGTAAGAATGGGGTAGGATGAAGCTGATCGGAACCAATCAGAAATCAGGCGGGCAGCCAGGAAAGTTAAGATTGGATAAACACTAGAAAAAGACAGGTCAGGACTCATATTGACGTGACTAAAAGCCAATTATCCGCCGAATTAACTCTGAGGGCAGGAACTTGGAGTGGGCAAAAGGGAGTTGGCATCTCCCTCAATCACTCAGCCCAATGAAAAGGCGAAGTAAGCCAGGCACCGCCTCCAAATTAGCCAATGGGCGTTACTAGAACCACCCATCACGGGGGAGGGAACAGGGCTGTGCCAGGAGGAGTTGGTCGCCATATTTGCCTTCCTCAGGGGACGTCTTTACGGTGATTAGGTGGTACTCTTCATCGGTGCCCTGTATCTCCAGAGGTGTCAGGACAAAGATCAACAATTGCCTTCAGCGCGCAGTTCTGCCTTACCATCCTGGATGGTTTAAGTCCTCATTGATCTGCCCTTAAAAAGTACTTTTCATGTCTTACCCCTCCCATGGCAGGCGGATGCCTCTGAATGTAGGTGTAAGCCCTGTGTGTGCAAGCGAGATGAGATATGGCGACAGTGCTCTCAAATCGGTTAATACTGAGATGACCTAATTGCAAGGTTTTTGTGACACTCTTGCACACCCCATTTTATTAAATTCCCCAAGAGAAAGGTGAAAGTCGCTTAACCTAGGGCAGGCTAACTTCAAGAGCTTATTTTTGTGGCTAAAGTGCATTGGAGAACCCCCTGGAGTCAGGGTCCTAAGCTGTTTCCTTTGCCCTACACCCTTTAATTGTAAAAACCGGCTAAGCATAAAGCGAGATAGCCGAGTTCCTGTTTCTTGGAACCACAAAAGTTATAAATGGTTTTGCCCGAGGGACCTGAAGTTCTGGCCTCCATTTTGCCTCTCCTTTATCCTAGTTTTGGTAGAGGCCTGGGTGGCTGGTAACACGATGAGGTCATTCTCTTTAGGACTTATATCTCACGTGTTGTCCTGTTTAGAAGTCGTAAATTCTCTCTAAAGGGTTTTTAAACCCTTTGAAAGTAGGCATTTAGGCTTCTGTTCCTTTGGCCAGGGCCTGGAAGAGGTTAAGTGAATACTGAATGCCTGTGTTTGGCGCCTAGGTCATTTAGGTGCTTTGCATTCCTTTTGTCATCTTAAGGATGATATTAAGTGTTAGAAATACTATATATTTTATAAGGGAAGAAATTTAAACTGGAAAGTAATTTGCCCAAGGTCACAAAGATTTTAAATTGTGCCAGATTCCAGCTCAGAATAGTTCCACAAAAGAAAAAAAAAAGGCTATATATTCTTAAGACAAAATAAAATGCCTTATATAACTATTTGTATAAGGACATACTCCAATTTTTGTGGCTGTTGAAGAAAATTGCTTTGGTATTGTTACTATCTCCTGAAAAATACCTGCCTATACTCCCAGGACAGTTCAAATGGCATCATCTTGTACACCTTTATTATAAAACTTATCACATTGTATTTCCCCAGATCAAAGTTTCTCAAAATGTAATGTCAGTCTGTAACAGAATGCTTGGGATTTTTTTTTTTTTTAATTGTGATTTCGATGAAAGTTTACAAAGCAAATTATTTTCCATACAACACGTCATACACATTTTGTTTCATGACATTGTAGTCCCCATAAGCCCCACTTCCTTCCTGTGGCTACCTCCCCCCCCACCCCACCCCCAGTCCTTCTTTCCCATGCATTCCTCCCTTCTGAGCTATCCCCCTATGCAAATACTGCCCTTCTGATCTCCCTTTGGGGTGCTTTTTTATAAAGCAGATTCCTAGATCCCATCATAAAGAGCTCTGGTGTTATAGTGGTTAAGGCGCTTGGCAGCTAACCAAAGTTTCAGTGATTCGAATCCATCAGCCGCTCCACAGAAGATGAGGCAATCAGCTTCAGTAAAGATTTATAGGCTTGGAAATCCAATGGGGGTCCCTATGAGTCTGAATTGACTTGATGGCAGTGAGAGTTTGAGACCCCACTCTAGACCCAGTAAATCTGATTTTCTGCAGTGGAGTACGGGACCAGGCTATAAGACTATCCATTTTTACGTAACTTCTTCAAGTCCCTAAACCAGAGTTTGAAAAACACTTAAGGGAAGAAACTTCCTGGAGGGAAGAAACTGCATTACTCATCTTTGTAAACTAAGCACAGGAGATTCTAACAGCTGTTCAGTGTATTCAGCAAAAGACCACACCTAAATTTACTGGGGAGGGGGAAAACAGCTAATATTTGTGACTGTGACAGTCTTCTAAACACTTCAAATATGTCATCTAACTTAATCGTTTCAACTGATACGAGACCATCATCCTCTTTTACAGATCAGAAAAGAGAAGCTCAGACACTTAAGTAAACTTATGGCCTATTTGAGTTCCAAAGACTATGGGCTTGTTTTTGTTTGTTTGTTTTCCCATAGTCTAAACTAGTCTATGCCTGAAATGGAAATTAGGGTTTGATTTTATTCTATATAGGTACTAAGAAAAAGGCCTAGATTAAGACTCAGAAATTCAATAGCTTTCATCCCTTTCATAATCCTTCCTCTTTGCTCCTCCTAGGACAAGATAAAATTCAGCACCTGACCAACAAGAAATGTCTTTGACATATCCTTGTTTATTGATAGTCCCTGAAAGCAAATGAACCAAGATCCTCCTTGTCTGATTCCCCTGTAAAAAACGTTAACAATTTTTTTTTTAGACCAAACAACAATAACAAAAAATTGTTTTTAATGAATAAGCTTATTTCATGGCTTCTCAAATTTCTCCAGTGTGTCTGTTTACAAAACAATTTGTGGGATCATTTAAATAATTCCAAAAGACTGCTTTTAAACAGTGTAAATCATACTGGCTGTGATGCTGAACCCTCACATGTACTAAGTGGTAACATTCCATCATAGCATTCAAGGTTCTTAGTGGTCAGCCCTTCATTTATTCAGGCTCATCATCCATTACTGTCTACTGTACTCTCTGACCCTTCACTTTGTACTTGCTAAAGTTTCCCCCAAAAGCCATTATTTTTGGGATCTCCAAAACCTGGACCTTTTAAATACCATTCACTCAGCCTGTCCTCTTCCTGGGCTACCAGACAAACTGTTACTCCTCTTTGATAAGTACAACTTATCTGAAGTCTTTCCTACCACTCCCAGGTATTAAATACTCTGCCCATTTATACCCTTTTTACATACTTGGATTAATAGTATCCAGTGTTTTCAACCAAAGATGCATATCCAAGCAACTAGTACACCATGTGATCCTCCTTTTAAACCATCACTATGAGACCAAAAGAGCTAGACAGTGCCTGGCTACCACTGTCAACCACTCTAAGGGGGATCTATGTAGGAGATCCTGGATAGAGTTGGAGAACACTGTGGAACAAAACTCAAAATCATTTATAAATAAATAAAGGGACCAGGTTTGCTGGTCTGATAGAGATCGGTGGAACCCCTGAGACTCTGGCCCCTAGCTGCCCTTCAGGTCTGGAATTGAACCTACTCCTGGGCCTCCAGCCAAACAAAAGACAAGCATATAAGCTGAACATTTACATTAGGTAGATGGCTCCTTGGAGAGAACAATCATAGGAGGATAGAAGGTCTGTGTATGCACAGGGAGACAACTCGGAGGGCAGGAGTGCATGGGAGGGAAGGACACAGGGAAGAGGTAATTATGAGGCGGAAGTGAGAAGAGAGCTGTTACGTTGTGGGAAATTGTAGTAAATACCATGAAACAGTGTATGTGAGCTGCTGTATGGAAAATCAATTTGCTCTTTCACCCAAATCACAATAAAAAATTTTAAAAAAAGTATCCAGTGTTTTCACACAAATCACAATAAATTATTATAATAGAATAAATAACTAAAAAGTATCCAGTATCCCTCAGTTAAACTATGCAACTTGAGGGCAGGGATGATGCCTTTTCATTTTGTGTCCTCAAGGTAGGGCATAGCATTGACACCCAATAAACAAAAATACTTGTTAAATGAAAGGGGAAGCCTAGTAGTGACCATCCTGAAGAGGTCTCCAGATATTACTGTGCTAAAAACTGATTCTCAGGCTTCATCTGGTTGCCTTATACAATAGGTTAAATCATTGTTCCTGACTTTGAAGCTACTCTTCAGCTTTGATCAGTTTTCCAGT